AGAATAGTTCTGAAAAACTGGGCCCAGTTTATTATATAGTTTTACAAACTTTATTTGTGTGGCCAGACATCCTGCAGCAACATTGCTAAAACTAAATGCGTCAGGACAAGAAACAATAAATAGGCCTGAATATGTGGCATTTAAAACGGGTATGGGAGAAGGATGTTGCCTAGTGCAGCTTTAATTACTACAGTATGGCATGGATTGTATCTGGATGTGACTCTTGTTAAAGAAATACTGTACACATGCAAAATTTGTATAGCACTTGTTCACCCTGAGTTACGTTGAATTCGTCAAGTAAGCATTTTTTTTCCTCTCGCATGCCAGTGAACGAAGAATCCAAAATAAATGAACATTTTAATAACTTGAACAAAGGTTCTCCTTAAACTGCAAAACTGTTTGCAGTTTAAGATTAATTAATAAACTCTCACAGAACTTGTGCAGTGTACACTAATCCAAGTAGGAAGCCTGGGCACATGCTTGCATCTGAACTCTGCTCATACATAGGCACATGCTCAGGGTGTGCTTCTTGTAGGTGTTCATATGTTTAGGAAGTTCTGAGCATACGACTGGATAAATGAGAATTGGATTTCACTGCATGAGTTGTGTGAGAGTTTGTAAACAGATGTTTTGATATAGTTTTGCTGTTGTTAAATGTGGTCCCTGTTTACTTCAATTCATGAAGTAGGTTTGCCTTTTGTGGATTCTTCGCACACTGTGGAGGCACGTGATAAAAACAACGCTTTCCTCACAATTTCCAGTTAACACTGGGTGAGTAATTAATATACAAATCGTCATTTTGCAGGCAAAGCATTCCTTTAAACTGCATTTACACATGTATTCCATGTAATTTACAATCCAACAATACCAAAAATAAAAACATTTAATCAATAATCTCTATCACCAAAATAAGTTAAACAGGATTGATTTGCTGTTGCATTCTGGAAAGTTGTAACTTCAAAACAATGCAGGCTGGGAAGTGTGCTAATGAGATGATTTGTTTCTAAACAACTTAATTTAATGAGTGAAGAATCAGACTGACTTTTAGTCTTAATTTTAAGATGTGATAACAATATAGAGTGATTATCTAAACATTTAAATGATGAGATGATTTAATTAAACAGATTATGAAAGTTTACAGTGTAAATTCAACATCCCATACATTCAAATATCTGTTTGAATTATACTTAGATTGCAAACCCTTCTCATTCCCAGGTCATCAAATACTGACGTTTTGTCATGCCCCTCAGCGTCTCATAGCAATGCACAGGACACACTTTATTGTCTCTATGTGACAGTGTGACAGTGATGCAACATGTGGATAATGTTGTGAAAAGGTCACGGCTATGTTTAGGCCACAAAACTACTTCAGGGTTCCTGCATCGTAAGGCAAGTGGGATTAAGCACTTAAGACTTGTGGTCACTACAGTAGACAGTTATTTAAAAAACATTTCCTTTTATGTGCATGGGCACTGATGCTATAGTTGCATAAAAGCTTCTACCATGGACCCCCATGCGTCTTGCCATACACTACCACCCACTGGCCAGGTGTTGTAAGTGCAACACAAATCTCTGAAAACCAAGATGGCCCACTAAACTGAACGTCATGTAGCACTGGCTGTATTTCAACTACAATTAACTTTGTACTTCAGTGACTTTTTGAGCTGTAAATAAATTAATTAATGTTATCAAAATGTAACATGCAATTTTTTTGACAAAAACAATTTTGGTATTTTTTAGAAAATGTTCATTGAAAGAATATACATAGTTTTAAAGGGGAAGGTGTGTGGGGGGCTGAGGAGTCAAGAGGAAGGAGCTGAATGAGGGAGGAGGGGTCCAAGAGGGAGGTGTAGAAAGAGAGGGGAGTGGGCAAGGAGACAGAAGCAGGGTTCAATGCTTTGAATAAAATTCGAGTACGTTAAAATACGTGAACACTCTAGTCTGACAGCATTAAAAATATATATTTTTATACTTTCACATTGTACATCAATTTGTTTCAGATTTTTGTTGTTCATGACCAAAGAGGGATATTAACACTTAGGAAAATAATCATGAATGAAGTAGTCATACTTCATGCATGAAAGGGTTTTTAAGACCAATTCAAGAAAAAAAAAAAACATGAACTGACATCATTACCTGTAGGTGAGGGAGCAGTACCGTGCACAGACATTTTGCAGGGCACAGGCTCAAGTGGTAATAAAAAGGGCCTCCTCTCCTCTCCTCTCCTCTCCTCTCCTCTCCTCTCTTCATTCTGTAGTCCTTTCCTTTGCTTTATTTAGTTTGCTCTCCTCCTCTCCTCATTCTCTTCTCCTCCTTTCTTTTTGAAATAGTAATGCGCTAATTCTTATAATTATCTCCCAAATATTGTTCATGAATCCCAGAGAACAGATGCATGTTGCTTTGTGCTCCTACTATCCTCTGTGCTCTTTATGCGGCGCAGGCCCAAACTGCAGGTCATTTTTGTTTAAATTAATTAGCAGAAATGTGACGTGGTTGACATAAACTTCAATTCAAATTGAGTTTTTGGTTTAAAAAGACATATTTGCAAAGCAATTTTGCGTTTGTCTCTGCTCACACCAGGCAGTCAGTGAACCGGTGAACCCGAATCTGGTGTGGTTTTACACCAGGCTACCTTACTTGTTGTTATGCTTAATGGTGAGTTATTGCCAAAGTTTGACTGGTTGTATTGAGATGTTTTAATAGTTGTGTAATTTCACAACAGTGACAAACAATGTGGAGGCTTAGGACAAACACTGTTGTTACCTGGCTGTCAAGGAGACGTGTTCTGCAGGGCGCTCGTTTTTTTGCGGCAGATTCTCAACTGAAATACAGTTGTTGAGCATACAACATACATTTAAAAACTAAAATAGAAAATTATTCAAAGAAATGGAGTAAAAAAAACATGCCTCACAAAAAAGGCACTTAAAGCTACTCTTACCTTGCATTTCACACACCAAAAAATTTGAACATCCACAACTCCCGCCTCCCTCCAAAGTCCCATCCCCCTCCTCCTGCAACTTCACCTTCCTCCAAAGGCCTACTCCTCATTACATCTATGATAGACGTAGACACTGGCAAGATAACGTGAGATACACAGAAGAGGAGAGCGAGTGTAACATGTCAAGAGAAGAGTAGAAGAGAAGAGGAGCCATATATAATGTTATAGCCTATGTTACATTAGAGGCAAAATAAAAATACCTGTCCAGCAGAAACTCTACGACCATCTCGTCCCTTTTTAGCTTAGGATGAAGCGGAGGCCTCCACGTGAGGAAGACAGACAGGATGCTCAGCCAATCATTGCATTTGTTCCGAATGCAATGATTGGTCAGAGTTTTCTTAGAACCATATGAGAATGGTACAATTATGAGTTTTTATCTCTGGTGGAATTCACTTACATTTCAGTGTGCCATCAGCTTATCAATAGCATTTTAACCTAAACAAAGAAAAGCATAAAATTTCCAGAAAGGTAAGTGTTGCTTTAAGTCAAAGGGCAAGGGGGCAGGTGCTTGAGCACCACCTGGGGTCTATATGTGCACGTGCCTGTGAGTAAGACTTTTGGCAAAATGTTTATTGTAACATACTCTCTTTGGTGATATTACAGGCATTGAGTAAATTATTATTATTATTACTTTTTTGTATGTCTTTTGAGAGATTGATTTAAGACATTTTAAAATTAAGGGTTTTTTTTTAGATAATGACTTCAATGCCTTTTAACATTTTTTAAGGATCTGCAGGAACCCTGTACTTGGTCAGGTTGAGTAAAAACATCATGTTATGGGTTAAAATAAGTACATCTGTAACCTAATGTGATGTAATTTCCTCATGTGAGTGTCGTCAGTGTGTGATGACCATTCTTAAATTACTTAACATTAAAACAAGATTTACTTTGGTTTGACACAGGACAAGTTCTGTGGTCTTCTGGGTGCAAGTTTGTCCCCCTTGCCTCCCTCCCACCCTTTCTCACTCTTTATAATACGTCAGTTTCTCTCAGCGTCAAGTATTGTAGCAGATGGGTTTACATTAAGGTTAGTTTAAAGACATATACTTTCAGTAATGAGCAGATTTCAAGTGTTTAACCCTTTAAAACCTGAGCAAATTGGCTTGATTTCTTTTAAAAACACGGGAAGCGGACAATGCGCAACAAATGAGAAATGACCCCCAAAATTTCCAAGAAATTATTAAAATAGAAAATGAAATGCAGGAACACAAACAAGGAAATGACCTGGAAATAGTGCTTAAAAATAGTAATCATTCTGTAACATAATTTTGTGATAATAATAATAATAATAACAATAATAATAATAATGATAATACTAATAATAACTGTTAATACAGTTTTCCCTAGCTTTTTTCTTTTTTCCCTATTTTTGGGTTAAGAAAATATATTAAAGTCTTCCGGATTATGTGAACTGCATTGTTGGGAATAGAATGATTTTATGTATTTTACGATAAGTTGTGTTTCACTATATAAGTTTTAGATGTGTGAACAATGAGAATACTGAGATGATTTCAGCTGATCTGAATGTGTTTGCTTTGCAGAAGTGGAGAAGTACAGGAGAGGAAGAGACATGAAGTCTGAGGAGCACATACCGCAATGCTTAGATAATTAGTTTCATATATGGTAAAAAGAATAGAAAGTGATGTACAGATAGTAAGGTACAGCACGTGTAGGGAGTTGTGTTGTTCTCTTGTCTTTCAAAACAGGAACCACGCCCCCACCGCCAGCGGGAAGGAGTCAGATTAACACGAGGCAGGGGCGTGGTGTGGTGAAGGAGGAAGTGGAACTGCCAATGAGAAGAGGACAACGCCTTGCGTGCACAATGACACTCTGTTACGCTCAAATATACTGGGTCAGGGGAAGGACAGGAGGTCAGACTTCGTGAACTGACACACCTTTGTTGTTCGTCAGGGACGTGAAGTTGAGACCCAGAGCTCTGTAATTTTATTCCTTTACTGCTTAATAAACTACATTAACTGAGACCGAATATCTTCTCCTATTGCTTCATTAAAGAACACGCAGGACTGAGCTCACACATAGCACATTGGAGAGTAGGATGAGACTTTTAGTCCAACAGCATATACACCAATTCTCACTTGGAGATAAAAAAAAAAAAAAAATATTACAGAGTGTTGTTCCTGTGGGCTCCTGCCACACTAAAACCAAGTGTTTGCCTGACAAGGACTAAATGCACAAACCTGCTATTTTAGAAAATTCCACGGAGAGAGACTCTCACTGCAGCCTGTTCTATTGTGTTTTTACACTCATTCTGTGGATGATGAACAAACCCACCCACATTTAAGAGTACCGTTTGCGGTGGAAACGCTAAATGAACCTAGGGTCTGGGTACCATGTCTGAAGGGTTACTTTTGGTTCCAAAGGTATCATAACGCAGGTGTTTGGTGAAATGGGGCTATAAGGGACGCTAAATGGTGGTATCGAAGGTGGCCATGCTGAGGGACGTGACAGAGCGTTGGTATTTCATGACCTGGGAATGAGAACAGGTTGTAAATTACTCAACATTTTCAATTTGATCTATGTACATATTCTAATTACATATAATACACAGTTTCTGATGTTAGTACTGTACAACTAATTACTGATTAGGAGATGAAAAATACAGGAGAGGTAAAGTTAAATGTAGAAATCACAGAAAATAGTGAGAAACAAATGTACACACACTCTCTTTCACTCATATGTTAAACCAAAACACTCAAACTTGACGCACAGAGCTGTTGAATTAATCTGAAGTCGACATGCTGGCAAATATTCACAGTTAGTTTTTGAAATCAGAGAGAAGACGTAACAGAAATGAAACTTTTTTTGTACAACAGGAAATGAGTTTGGCTGCAGGTCAAAATTTGTCCTCTTGCACTGAAGTTCACCTGGAAAAGCTCCTAAAAAAAGCTGCAGTGTGCATACCAGTAATGCTGCAGTGTTCTGCCACTAGAGGGCAGTATTCCTCCATTTCCTCCCCAGTTTGATTTTCACAAAGTGTTTCTGACTTTCCCCATATTTTTCAACACATTAGACTCTAGTCAGGTCCGTAAATTCTCCATTTGTCATGATAATCCCACTGAAGTTCCTCAGGCAAATGTTGCACATGACTGAGTCCACCCGTCCTGCGCTGTACAGTAAGTCTCAGAACCAAAACTCAGACTCTAATGATGCTGATGGAGGAGGAGGCTCTGTGGAGCTGAGAGAAAGAGAGGAGTGAGAGGCAGCTGTATTCATAAACACATGAGTCATAAACAGAGATGGTCACATATATGTACATGACTCATAAATCTCAGGAAGGCTGTGTGTGGGCCACACTCACATGCACTGCCACGTGCCTTCATGCACTTTATATATGACGTCTGTTAAAGATTTATAGCTAATCAATGACCTGTGCGAGCTTGACATTTCAGACAGTTTACTTAATTGCGCTCAGGTTTGGCTGAAAAATAAGAAATAATTCTGACTGTGGGGAGGATGAGGAGTTCCTTGTTATCGAGGCACCCGGACATAAAATGAATCACATTTGGCACATCTTGTTTTCAACTTATCTCTGCCCTGAGGCCACTTGTGCCAAGACAACAACTGTCATTGACATGCATCCTCAGCACACAGTTTAAACATTCATACCATTTCAAAGCCATTATAGGCGTTTGATCATTGTCTAATTTAATTTTTAACCTCTTAAGTCATTATAAATTCATGCTGTGCTGCCAAACTATGTTCAGACATACAAAAGTGTATTTGGAATTCAAGTCAAGATGCCAAAGTTTAAAAAATTACCAAATATTTCAGTTTGAATTTAGGGACAATGTGTGTAAAATCATCATGCACAAAACATTGAGAATCATCTATCTGATTTGAGTCACATAATGTAGCTGCAACGAAATGTTAGAACAAGCGTATATAGATAGCTGATGATAATTTATCCAATCTTAAAGCTGCTTCAGGAGAAACCAAGGACACTGAAGGGTTAATAATCAACGTCTTAATGAAGCTGACTACATTACAGCTCAAGTGATTAGAGAAGTATTTGATTAGAGGATCGACCAGCAAAAGTTTGGATAATTGATGAATTCTGTATGTCATTTTTCCAAACAAAATCTTCAGCTCCTCAAATGTTAATATTTTCTTATTTTGGATGGATATTTTACAGCATTTTCTGACATTTCATGGACAAAAACAATGAATTGAATGACCAAGAAAACAATCCATTGATTCAGCTGACTGATAATAAAAATTAGCCTTAGTTGTTATGGCTGGCTATTAAGCTATGCTTTAAGTTTTACATGTTTCAGTGCAGGCTTTTCAAGATTGCAACCAAACACAATATAAGATGTAGACATCCACTATCAGTGCAAAAAAAAAAAAAAAAAAATACATCTGCCTCATCAGCAAACATATAACATCATATAACCCTAACACCCAGTGGAGTCAGGGGGAAACGCGGTGGGGACAAGAACGAAAGTTAAGGCCCAAAAGTCCTGGTCGGATGGGTGGGTCTAACAACCACCGACTTTCACCCAGGAGGGCAGTGTTCGATTCCCGTGAGATTGAAAAACAAAACCCTGTTCTTTTTTCCTAAACCCAACCGTGTGTGTGTTGACAGAATGTAACCATGTGTGTTTGTTACTGGAAAAAATGTCAATTTGCAGTGTTGTACTGACGTAGTGCAATTAAGAGTCTGTATGCAAACTTTACATTTCCTGTGAAACCAGAAGTGTATTTGAAAAAAGACAATGCATGTAACAGGCTGAAGTTGACATTGTGTCCCAGAACGTCAACAACCAATGCACTCGGGGTACCTTGCATGTTGTATCTGGATGTGGAAAGTCCATGACTAAACGTCGATATGTGACAAGGTCGGAGTGAGAATGTGTTGGCTGCAGGGGATTTTTTTCTGCAACACCATGAATGACCACTGGGAAAAATTTGCTAGAAGGCTGAGCAGTGTCTGGGGGCCTGACTAGGAGTCCAGATCAGGCGCCCAGGCTTTTAAGTCAATTTCTGTAATGGCCAAACAGTAGAATAAAAACTCCCGAGCCAGTCACATGATGCCATGCAGCCCAAAAAAACTTTCTTCCCATTGACTTACATTGGGAAAGTGATGTCTTTAAATCAGTGAATACATTTTTTTTGAGTGTGACTTGACTTGTTTTACTATCAGGACTTAATCAGTTTGGTCTGATAACATTTAGAAAATCTAGAAAAGCTGCAAGATTAAATCTTTCTTATCCCCATTCAAGGTACTGGAGTGCTAAACTGGAAGTAGCTGGCATGCTTGGTCAAAGTCTCTACTGCGCCTGCTCTTTGGGCCCAATGATGCTGAATCAGCACAGATCATCCAAGTAATTTCATACAGCGTAAATAAAGATTTTATGGCTATCTGTGCCACTAAGCACCTGTCATTGGAATGAACAGGGTCTGGCCTCTAATGCTGTATCCAGGTCTTAATACATCCATTTAACAGCTGCGGAGACAGACCCTCAGTCGGCTTGAAATCAGCTTGCGCATGTCAAAAGCTACATACAGAAATGTTCAGTGTGATCCTGGCCTTTGTTTTAAGTGTCGCATTATAGAACACATTCTGACACATCATTCATTCACCACCAATTGATCTTTCAAAATGACACCTTGTCATCTTAAGAGAACTGAGTGATCACTTTGCAGTGACAGCTAGCGCTGACTGATCTGACTCGCCTCAAACTCCACTTTTTTGTCTTATATTTGGAAACAAATCCACCTCGTCAGACTGCTCACTTTTTCTGTCGCTGATTAGATCCACAGCAACAACCCAACAAGCTCTCTCTGTCTTCAGCCTGGTTGTTTTATATTTAGCCATGATGGCAGCAGCCTTGGTTGCTAGGAGATCTCTGATGCAACTACAAAGGCTCTTTAGAGAGGAAACAAAATACTCCTGGCAGCCAAGAATGATCATGCATTATAGAGAGGTGCTGCAACAAAATGAAAGCGACGGAGGAGAAGTTTGAGAAGATGTTTTCTTAATGAAGTTCGGGTAGCAGAAAATGAGTCACCCTGCTGCTGCGCACGGCTCCGTTGTGGTAAATGGGCGAGCTGCCGGCTGAAGCGTTGTAGTAGGAGGAAGTGGCGTGGACCAGCGGCCTCTTGGCTTTCTCTTTGCTGCCGTTGGAGTCATTGTCTTTGATGATGTCATACTGTCGGCAGAAGAGGGCGATGACAGCTGGGGAGGAAGGTGACAAAGTAAAACATCAAAAACAAGTGAACAAGCAAACACATTCATTTTTAATAATACTGAGATTTAGACAAAACAAAGCATTGTGAAGGTGTCACTGTGGGTAACTGTGATGATATTCCAGCAACTAATCAGCAGATTTATGCAGAATAATATTAATAATTAAAGCTGGGCTAGGCAGAAAAGAAAAAGAAAGACTTTCATAATGCACCCAGTAATGCCAGAATTACAGTGTCAAGCAACATTTTCAATACTTTCACTTGTACCAAAGTACTTTTACTAATGTAAAGGATGTGAATATTTCCTCCACCTCTGACAAACACCCACACACGTTGAAGCTGACCTGCCCACAGCAGCAGCACAGTGGTGATAATGAGCAGCTCTCCTGTCTGTAAGTGAGGAGTCATGCCAAGACCTTCCATCGCCGGTTCGTCTGAGGACAAATAAAGACTCAGTGTTGGCAAACTTTATCAACAAGGACAAAAAAAACATCCTCAAAGAGGACAGTAGTATAGTTTCAGAGCTCCACTAGCTGCTAAATAAACTACTGTATTAACTACTAAAAAAGACATAAATACAAATGACAGTTAATGAGAGGTGCTGTAAGTAGTGCAAATAAAAACAGGCAATACATATGAGAAAAAAAAAATCATGTCAAAAATATCTGTGGATTTTGTACAGTTGGACAGGGCCAGGCTAGCTGTTTCTCCTTGTTTTTAGCTAAGCTAACTGGCTGTAGCTCCAACTTAAGCATTCAGATATGAAAGTTGTATCTACAGAAGCTGAGAATGGCTGTGCTTCTGATTATTTCTTAAAAGCCGTTATCTTGAGAAGTTAGTTAATTAATTTTGTTATCTGGAGAAAATGCATTCATTATCTTGTTATCTCGAAACAAAAAATTTTGTTCCTTGAGATAACGAGTTAATAAATTTATTATCTCAAGAAAAACATTTGAGTTACCTGACAAAACAAGTTTATTATTTCATTAACATTTCATTGTAGATCTTTAAGATAATGAGTTAGTTATTTCATTACCTTAAGAAAAGGATTTGTGTTCCCTGAGATAACAAAATAATTATTTCATTATCTTGAGGAAAAGGGTTTTGTTTCTGAGATAACGAGTTAAAAATTATTGCATTATCTTAAGAAAAACCTTTTTATTCCCTGGGATAATGACTTGATGATTGTCTCATTATCTTGATAAAAAATGTTTTTGTAAAATAACCATTTAATTATTTTATTATCTGGAATAAAAGATTTTTATTTCCTGAGATAACAATTATTTCATAACCTTGAGAGAAAAATTTATGTTCTCTGAGATAAAATGTCAGTTATTTAATTATCTTGACTTTAATTCTTTGAGATTCTCTGACATAACTGTAATTTCATTATCTCAAGAACACGAGCTTTATTGTCTTGAGATACCAAGTTTATCATTTAATTATCTCTAGATAACGAAGCTTGTTTTCTCATGAGATAACAAAGATTCAACTCGAGATTATGGCATAAGAAAACATAATTGGAAGCATGGCTGTTCTTCGCTTCTGTAGATCAATGTTCTCATCCAATTTTCAGCAAGAAAGCCAATTAGCATCACACTGTTACTTTAATTATTTGTTAACTTAATTAGCAAGGTCAAGAAGATGATTGCAGTAATATACAAAGTATTTTTTAGTTCAAATTAAGACAGTAGTAGATTGATGGAAGGAGGTTTTTGGTGGTTTAACTTGCACCCTACCCTTACCCTTGTTCTTACTCCTAAAAGTGCACATTTCTGAGTGATAAACTGAGTCAAGGTGTTGGAAAATCTGCTTTTAAAAAAAGTAATAAGTTAAGTAAAATATATGTGTAATGTGCGTGTGTTTATTTACGGTGATCCAGGACTCCAGCTGGATAATGGTCACTCCTCTCCAAAGTCCTGAAGTGGATGGCACGGCTGGGCTGGCTGTCACCATGTGGCCCAACAGACTGCACCTAAACCCCCCAACAAAAGTTTATTTAAGTGAAACTATGAAGTACTCCTCATATGCTTAAGGAAGGTTGGACGCAGCCGTAGTTCTGCACAGCTGAATGCTGGGTACAGTCCCAGATGACATTAACGGAGGATGACATTATGTAACGATGACAAGAAACTGGCTGGCGAGGGTATATTTAGCGAGCAAATGGTGCTTTGGTTTTTGGCTGGGATCCTGAATGATTGTTGGAGGACGAGTGCGGTGCTGTAGATGTAGAAGCAGACTGAAAGCTTGGAAAACAAAGGAGGGAGTATAGATTTCGGCTAAAGACTTATCTGGGGACATTTTCAGCAAACAAGCAAAGAATCCAAAAATGAAGAGAGAAATAAACAAATTTGTTGTTGTGTTTCTCACTCAAATACAAGATATTTCTCACAGCTACAGTGGATAGCAGAAAGTGTTAAGTTCAAGCATTATACAGGGAGAGAAATCCATCACCAGCACAATTACATACAAGAGGTCTAGCTGTGCCTCCACCTACACACTAAACCCAAAGGTTAAATGCAACGAGTTTTCTGTAGAGGTTGCTGCAAGTCATTCTAGGAAAATGACTGACTGAGGCAGAATTGGGTACAAAACAAAAGTCAATTACAACACTTTATCACAAAATACGTCCCTACATTAATGTGAAAGTATCCTAAAGTTTGAGCTCTGCAAATCCCTTCACTAAACTCCACAGACAAATTATCTTATTTTCCCATCCTTTGTTCTACAGGAAGGTCAGAGGTGAAAAGATCAAATCTCCACCCTCCGGGTGCTGGCGAGGCTTCAGTGCATTGCTCAATGAGACTTCTGCAGGACACCCGCCTGCTGACAAGCATATTTAACTGCGTCCGCCAGCTGAAGGACAATCTATATCAGTCTATTAAGCTATAATGGATTATAAAAAGTTTAATAGAGTCATGATAATGAAGTCACATTAGACGCTCCTCCTTCAGAGAGAAGCTGGAGTTTGTGCTGGCATTTGATTTAAGAAACTTTGAGCTGTAATAACGTCATAAAAAAGTGTGTCCATTATATACTGAGAGGAAGCTAATAAGAATAAAAATGAATTTTCAAAATTAAGTTCATCATCAGTGAAGTTCCTCAATTAAAGCTGCACTTCATATCTTTTTCTCATCACCAAATCTCCAGAAAAAAAATGTTGGTGTTGTATGTTAATGCAAACCATTGATACATTAAAACTTTACCTTCCAACAGAACACTGTGATTACTGTGCTTAGGTTAAGGCACAAAAACCACTTGGTTATGGTTCGGAAAAGATCATGTTTTTACTTTTTGGCTTTAGGGGGCACAATGCCCGCTGGAAACACAGCGATGTCTCTGTAAAAAAACAAGTGCTTTTCGTGGCACTATCCTTGGTGCAAAAATGTCTTGGTGTCAAAACAACCCTTTTTTGTGGCACTATCCCAACAGGAAATGCAGCAATGTCTTAACTTAAATATAAGCACTTTAGGTGGCACTACCCCAGCAGGAAATGCAGCGATGTCATGGTATAAAATAATGATGCCGCCATCCTGGCAGGAAATGCAGTGATGTCTTGAGAAAAAAAACAACAGCTTTTTGGGTCATTATCTGGCAGGAAATGCAATGATGTCTCTATAAAAAACAACCGCTTTTTGTGCCCCTATACCAGTAGGAAATGCAGAGATGTCTCTGTAAAACACAACCACTTTTCATGGCACTATCTTGGCAGGAAGGCAGCGATGTCTGGAGAATGAACAACTGCTTTTCAAGTCATTTTTCCAGCAAAAAACACAGCAATGTCTCTGTACAAAAACAATGGCTTTTAGTGTCTAAAAAGCTGCCAGAGCAACAGCAATGACACACTAAATCACAACCAGTTTTATTGTTTGTTAGTCTCAAACAGTGGTATCAATGGTGTCCATGCCATTCAACATCCCCTCCACCTCCAGATGACAAACTCAGGTCATGTCAATTTAGAGGCGTTGCTATGATACGAATGAAATGTACAAATGTAATGTAATGGTTTGCAGAGACTTACAATGCCAAAATTTTCTTCTGGAGACTGGGCTGCTCACTGCAATGTTTTTACAACTTCAACAAACAATTCTTACCTGAAGTACCCCTGCTAGAAAGGTTTCAATGGCACCTCACAGTCATCCTCAGTGTGTGTGTGTGTGTGTGTGTGTGTGTCTGCGTGTGCCTCACCTGGACGCTGTAGTGTGTGTCCTCGTCCAGGTCCCACAGCACGCACCAGCGGCTGGACGTGTTCACCTCGCGGATGGAGCGCTGCATCTGGCCATCCTGCCTCTGGAGAGGAGACACGTGCAAACACAGGACATATGTTATAAGCCCGCTTCACCATCGTGGCTAATTTAACAATTTTATTTCACAATTTCAAGACAGACGTTATGAATGCAAATAAAATCCCCCCTCTGTAATGAGCAGCTTCGCTCCACTCATATAAATTCAGCTCAAACACTGACTGTCCCACGGGGGAGAATAAGGTCTGCAGGCAAGGTAACACGAGCAATCATCCTGTGGAGGAAACAGAGCCAGAGATACTCTACTCTGTGCAAAAAGCAGTCTTTATGACAGAATACATGACCATCAACTCCCCATAGTTCATGGATAAACTGACTTGAAAAAATGTCTTTAAATTTCTGGCAAAAGCATGAGCTTATTTTCTTATTTTGCAAACCGTACCATACACAGCAAATGGAAAAACAATGAGAGAGATTCATTAAAATCCACTTATCATCACCTTTATCAGTAGAATTGGGGGAATGTCTTCTCGTAAATGCTCCAGCATGTTCACCAGCTTGTCTCTAACTGTGTCTGTCTGCTGTTTGATGCTGAGCAGGAAGTGAACAGTGGATTTTAAGAGCTTTTTAACTGAAAACAGCTGCCTGCTGTGGCTGAAAAAGGGTGCTATGGGAGCAATGAGAGTGAACCAAAACAGTAAAACCAAAGTAATGAGACAACAATGCTATAAAGCTTTGTGGAGCTGAGGATGATTTTCTCAGTGGGTTTGTCTCTAAGAGCGACACAATCACATACAAGTAGACATGTTTACATATAAAAATATTAATCATCGCTGCTTTAAGACTCATCTCTGGACAAAACTACTGAAATAATGTGGCTGTAATCTTATTTTAGAGATAATTCCAGTAGGTACTGTACAAGGGATTTACCTGAATCCCAATATTCAGAAAAGCACTAATAATGAGATGGAAACAGATATTTATTCTACCCGAAGCTTGTTGTTAATCAGGGAAAAAAAGTCATGACTGACATGTCTGTCTGAATCGATTCATATAGAATCTGCAGTTTTAGCTGTATGTACATATTCTCTTTATTAACAAAAAAATAAAATAAAATTTGACTTTGTATTTCAGTCAATATGATCAGCCGCAGGTTTCAAAGACTTTTGACTTAGCATCCACAAACACCCTACCAAGTACTCCATGGTGATAGATGGAAATCAAAAGAACTGGGACATAAATGTGGCATTAGGACAGAAAAAGTCCCCTGAAATAAATAAAAGTAGTCATTTGAAAAAAACATCCTTTAAAAAAAAAAAAACTCTCTCTCTCTCTCTCTCTCTTTCTATTCCATGAGCATATTTATTTATTATTTTTTAATGAACTATAATGCCATATTTATGCATTTCTATTTGTATTTATTAATTTATTACATAGGCTTATTTATTTATTTTAGGATTTATTTCATGGCCATATTTATTAATTCATTCCACAGCCTAATTTATTTATTAATTTAATATCCTATTAGTTACAGAAGCATATTTATTTACTTTTTATTTATTCCATAGCCATACTTATGTATTCATATATTTATTGGACTAATGACTAATTTATATGTTCATATTAACATTTATATTTATTTCCTAAATTATTTATTTTAGGATTATTTCATAGCCATATTCATTTATCTATTTATTCCAAAGGCTTATTTATTTTATTTTATTTTATTTTTTATTTGTTACATAGGCATATTAATTGCTTTAATACTGACTCAAATGTCATTCCATAGTGGTGGAGTTTCAGACAGTTAGACAGTTAAACTAAGTTAAGTTAAAAATAAAAACTGAAAGCTAAAGAGAGCGGTATGTGAATACTTCAGTAAGAGGGTGTACAAATATATTTCATAACAATTATATGATGTTAATAAAACAATTTGATGCTTTGGAGGCACAATTTCATTGCCAGTGAATATTTTCCTTGGAGATAAAATATAATACAATACAATACATTTGCCTGATTTAACGTGATTTTGTGTATAAACCACACCCACTTCTGGTTGTCTATCTGAAAACAGAGACAGATCATTTTGTTGGCTGAACAGATACAGATAATGACGTCTCTGTACTATGTACCTCTACTAGGTACTAAGGCTAAATGCTTTATTAAAACTTGCTTATTTCAAAGATTAAGATTCAGTTATTCTAGACTAATTACACAGTGGTATAATGATACATTCAGATAACATTTTGTTCTTTGTTTTGTTTTGTTTTGTTACTCTAATTACCCACCAGCTTAGCATCAGAACAACTGCTGTAGGGAGGACTTTCTAAAAATCCACATTATGGTAGGCAAAACATTTATCTGAACAACCTGTTGTGTTCCACTAGATAAAGGTCTTCGATCCAGCCAGTAGTGGGTGTTAAAGTCCAGCTCAGAATGAGACACAAGTTTCCCAGTAAGTAAAAGTACTGAAAGCTGAGAAAGAGTCAGTAAATAAGAAGTCTGGCAGAACGCTCGAGGCTCTCCAGATGTCTGAATCACCAGAGACTCAGCAGAGTCAGAGTGTCTCCAGCTCCTCTGGCAGATGGTTTTATTGTCCCTCAGCACTAAAAGACATTAATATATAATAAATCTTTATGGAGGCTAAAAGGATTGTTAATCAATAACTGTGACTCAGCTGCATCATTCTCTGATTTCGAACTAAAAATCCTTTAAATTAAAACTGCTGGAGCCTTAAAACTGTGTATCTGTCAGAGCTCCAACTGAAAAAAGTAAATGCTGCGTTATTGGTGTACTAAATCTACATGTATATTTTACCTTAAGTAGGCGTGATACTGGGCTTCACTGCTTTATCTTTGGCTGTTTGTAATGTATTTTTAGGAGTGTAATAACAGTAAGTATTAACATTAAATGTTTTTCAGCAGTGAGCAGTGCCTGCCCACAGTCCACAGGGAAGGACAACCTGTATACATAAAAGACTATTAAATCCTTGCTGCTGCTCTGTCAGCTTAATTTCTGCAGGTGCCTGGAAAAAACAGAATTTTTACCTCAGTTTCATGAGTATATTTGTTAATAAATTGCACATTTTTTGCATTTCCACCAACCAAACTTGCTTCTTTGATGTTCCCCTTAAAGGGTAACTTTGGTATTTGTAAAACTGGGACCTATTTTCTCATGTTAGTCTCTTAAAACATTATTGAAAGGATCCCTACAGGGATAGACCTTTTTATTAAAGATTAAGATCATTTTTGTTTAACCAGAAACAGCCCCAATATTGCCATCACCATACCAACCAGACTCCATTTAAATATCAATAATTTTAGAGTGCAAAGAGGCAGCATATATATTTCACATCTAACTGGATGAATGAAGGGTTTATTTCAACCAAACCAGACTTAGTCATTGTTGGAACAGTGCAAAGACAATACGGTTTCTGTGAGTTTTATTTTGTTTCTGTCGACTTTGAATGAAGTGTGTTTTATAATGATAAAATTATTGTTTATTTAAATGGAGTTTGGTGGGTTTGGCAATGGCAATTTCATGGCTGTTACTGGTTGAACAAAAATTATGCTCAATTGCTCATAAACGTTACATTGCAGCCTGTTTCACCACTGCCAGCTGTAGCACTCTTGCACAATACTGGACCTCTTTCAAAAATGGTTGTCCCCATTACTCAGTTAGAACCAAAGCATGGGAATATAGGGTCAGTGTTGAAAAATACCAAAGTTACCCTTTAAAGTTTCCAATCCAAACAACATCTGACCTTTATACACCAATTAGCCAAAACTTAAAACCACTGACAGTTAACGTGATCAATGATCATCTTGTTACATTGCAGTCCTGCTGGGAGACCTTGAGTCTTGGCATTCATGTGGATGACACTTGGTAGCCTACACACCATCCACCTAAACACCATTTAAGACCAAGTACACCCCCTCGTGGCAACAGCTCTCCCTGATGGCAGTGCCCACCGCAGCAGGACAATACACCATGCCACATCACAAAAAAACGTTAAGGAATGGCCAGAGGAACATGACAAAGAGCTCAAGGCAAAGACCTGGCCTCCAGACTCCCCAGATCCCAGTCTAACTAACATCCATCGGATGTGCTGGTACGTACTTGGATTGGATTTGGCTCTGACCCCTGGAGGAATGTACACAGGACCTCTGGGGTCGTCCCTTGGTGTCTGGAATCGGAGTGTTGGCGCCAGATCCTTTGAGTCCTGTTGGTTGTGAGGTGGGGTACCGGCACCGCTTTGTCACATTCCTCGAGCCATTCCTGAGCAGGTTTTGTGGCATGGCATGGTGCATTGTCCTGCTGGGAAGGGGGGCACTGGCATCAGGGAGTGCTGTTGCCATGAAGGGGTGGAGCATGCCAGGTGGCATCAATATGACTGCAGGACCTCAGGTTTCCCAGCAGAACATTGCATTGTAATGAGATGATCAATGTTATTCACCTGTCAGTGGTTTTAATGTTATGGCTGATTGGTGTAAGCCTTAGAAACAGTAAGACAAATACCTTATGTAATTGTCATCAAACTGAAAGTAAGGGAGACGTGTCCTCATCATCTCCAGTGGAAACTATGCTATCTACATTTGCTGTCAGTACTAAAAAGTCTCCTAGAAAGATGAATTGTGATAAAACCAATAAAGTACTTTACTATAGTGGCAAATGTTTTTCTCATTCTCTAAAAGAGAACATAAAACCAAACATGAAAGGATAAACTTGCTGGAACAAAGGTTTTGTAAGGTCTTTGATTCTTATGGCTGCAGGTGGTGATGACATATTCCACAAAGAAAAGATGGTTTGACATGAAAAAGCAAAAATTCAATAAGAAAACTGGAGTTAAGCTCTGAGCTCTGCTGGTTATGGTTTAATTGAGACAAGTGGAAGCCTTAGAGGCTTTTCAAAGGGTTGTAAAATGTGTCTTCTGTGAGGACCCTGACCCTGAAATCTACAGGTGAAGACAAAGTTTGATTACACAGCTATTTTTACGTGAATAAAGTAGCTTAACACCCTTTCACCAGTGAAAAGCCACAGATAAACAAACCTCTTCTTGTCACAGGCTGTCAGTTTTCTTCTTGTAGCAGGTTAAGAAACACGCCTACAGTCGAAAACAGACACTATCTACAGGCGCAGCATGGATTTATTTGATCAACGTCCGCCCACACGTACACATTAATCATCAATTGACCTTGTGATAGTTTGGGATTCATGAATCAGAATGAGGATTATTGTGCATCTCGCATATATAATCTCAAAGTGTGTTACTTCCTCCGAAAGTTTGAAAGCGCTGTTCTGTTGCGTAATGTGTGAATCTCAGCAGCCGGAGCTTCTGGGATTTGGAACAACTTCAGATGAGTGAAACAACTCTTTGTCTGAGCAGATTCACTCGTCCTGCTTCTCCTTCACAAACAGAAGGCTCAGCTTGTTACTGAGAGATAGTGTATAGAGATAGTGTATATGAAATAATCTACTGAAACAAGCCAGTGCACAGTATGTGGCTCCAAACGGAGCCTAAAGCCTGACATAGAATCAGTGTTGCTTGTTTTGTTTTTTACACCTTAAAAGGAGAAATGGTGTCCAAGAAAAATGATTGACTGCAGCCTTTTACATAACTGCATTTCTTTCCCTTTAGTACATGTTCACCCTTATCCAGAGCCACTTTTGATGACTAACAGCAGAAAAAAAGGAGCTCAGTAGATAAAACCCCCTGCATGGATACCTGCCACCTGCTCCCATTACCTCCCCTATTAATATTTGAGCAAGGTTTTTACATAAGAGCTTCCTGAGGTTATGGCAGGAGATGTTTTACATTCTCATCCTCTGTTTTCTTGAAAATGCCATGAGGCTGATGGATTCTAAGTCAGACGTGAGGCAACTTTACAAAAAAAAAAACAACAAAAAAAGAGCTGTTTGGCATCACTGCCGCCGCTGCCGCCGCAGTGGATGTTACTTCAGTGAGGCAAGTCCCAGCCAAATCATTTCCACTAATGGAGACAACTCCCACTCAGAGGTCAGCTAATGTCTGATTCTCCTATTGCCAAACTGTGGGTGGTAAAAACTGATTAGAATGAAGCACGCTGAGTTAGCAGCCCAAGTGTCAGAAGATGTGAGACGAAGAAAATGTGGTGATATATGAGGACTATAAATGTCGAGTGATTCCAAACCAGGTGTGTTTGTAACCCCAGGGGATGGCTTCTGGGGGGAAGAGGGGGAGGGCTACAAATCCCTCCTCCCCCAGCCAAAAGAGTTTAGCTGGCTCTCGGGCTGTTGGACAGGCTGGAGTGAGAGTCTCTCTCAATTGCATATTTAAAAATAGCGGGGTTAGTCCTTCTCAGGCAAGAGCAGAGGTTTGGTGCTGCCAGAATGCACCGGAGAAACCAATTTTTTTCTTTAAGTAGGGATAGAAAACACTCATCGGCTGCTTTAGAAGGTACAACTCTTAAACTGCTCATTAATGTAAATAGCTTATCAGCCAATCAAGTGGCAGCATCTCGATACATTAAGGCATGTAGACACTGTCAAGACGACCTGCTGAAGTTCAAACCGAGCATCAGAATGGGGAAGAAAGGTGATTTAAGTGACTTTGAATGTGGCATGGTTGTTGGTGCCAGAC